CCCCCCCCCCCCCCCCAGCTCCTGTCAGCCTCCTTGAAGAGAGTAGCCTCCTAGCTGGTCTTAGGGCCCCCACCTACTCCTTACCCTTGGCCACAAGGTACTACTCCCCTCCCCTAGGACCCTTCTATGGGTCTTATGGGGACCTTCCCTGTACCTGCTCAATTTTCTTTTTTATTGTGGTCAAATATACAAAACAAAATGTACCATTTTCACCTTTTTTCTTTTTTAATGTTTGTTTATTTTTGAGAAAGCGAACACACATGAGCAGGAGAGGGGCAGAGAGCGGGATGGGGTGGGGACAGAGGATCTGAAGCAGGCTCTGTGCTGACTGCGAGCAGAGAGCCCGATGCGGGGCTCGAACTCGCGGACCGTGGAAGATCATGACCTCAGCAGAAGTCTGATGCTCACCCGACTGAGCCCCCCAGGCGCCCTTAACCATTCGTAGGTGCACGAGTCCGTGGCGTTAGGTATATTCACCCTGCTGTGCAACCGTCACCCCCATCCATCTCCAGAACTTTTCTATCCGCTCAAACTGAAACTCTGTTTCCATTAAATGACTGCTCCCCGTATCCCCCTCCCCACAGCCCCTGGCAACCGCCCCCTGCTCAGTTTTAGATTGCAAACCCCTGTTCTGCCAGCCCTCTGCCCCTTCTCCACGTTTTTGATTTGCCCTGTGGCACAAGCATCTCATGCACTATGTCATGTGTCCCACCCCTCCACAGTAAATCCTAATTGTCCAGTTATTTAAGGCGGGGCCCCAGCACCCGAAACAGTGCTTGACACATAAAGATGCTTAGTGATTTGTTTGTTGAATGACTGAATGATCTAGCCGCCGGGTCCGGGAGCTTTCTCCAGACCCCAGTGATTCCTTGTGCCCTCCCCGCCCCCCTTTTTGCAATCCTGCCTGTGTGTGTCACCCCGGAAGCCGCCAGCGCCGTCCCCCCCACTGTGATTATCCTGGCCGCCCGTGACACAAGCACGCGGGTTTTGCCTGTGTTGACAGAAGAAGAAACCCCTTTTCAGGATCGTCCTTCAAGTCCAGAACTAAAGCTTGAAACAGCAGCCTCCAGTTGCCAAAGACAGCAGAAATGAAACGGAAGCAACACAAGACACCTATCGAAGACCCAGGAAAACCATAAAAAAGGCTGGTTGAGAGAACAAAGCCGGACCCACGCCATCCGCCTGGCTTTCCTTTGGGAAGGACCGCGCTGGACAGACCCCGGAGTGCTTCTGTCGCTCACGGTGTGCGGTTGCAGAAAATCATCAGCTGGGGCCAGCGGGGTCTCGGGAGCAGGTCGGGCCCCAGCCCCTCCCCCTCCTCACTGGACATGCTGCAGAGAGAGAGATGTGGCTGAACTTCCCTCGCTCCGGACCGAACCGGCCGCCCTTTGCAGGAAACACTCCCGGCTTCCCAGACGGAATTTCAGAATGGGCTGCTGGGCATTCAGAGACCCCAGCGGAACGAAGGAACAAGAACGTGTGGAAACAGGTCCCTGGAACGTGCTAGATGCCTGTTCTGGGCCCCGTTTGCACGGCCCATCCCGTGGGCATGAAGAACGTGGGCTCATGTTAAAGCTCGGCCGGCCAGGCTGTCGTCACAAAGGCTTGCACTTACTCTGTGATGAGCCGGCAGGTGACCTCAGCGGGGTCTGGCCGACACAGGGCATCATGACCCCGCAGGAAGCAGGCTCCGGTCCCAGACGGGGTCTGGCTCCCGAAGCCAGCTCGGGCCTCCCCCTAGATTCAGGTCTTCGGCTCAGGATTCCGCACACAGGGAACCCTTGCTGATCCCGTGGAGGGGACGTCGTGGTGTCTGGGAAGGGAGGGCCGGGGAGTGCGACAGCCTGGCAGGGCCATCAGTCAGCCAGCAGGTGAGTGGAGAAGGTGACAGAGGGGCCCCTAGGGGCCCCGGCCCGATGGCGATGAGGCAGGCCACCTCCCCGGCTCCCCCCACGCGGACAGTCCATGTGCTCAGACACGGCCTCTGCGTGGCCTGTCGGGATGCTGGGGTGACGTCAGGCCCGGCCTCTTCCCTCGGAAACCGTCATCCTGGCTGTCTGCTGGGGGCCGGGATGCTGGTGAGGCGGATGGAGACTTTTCAGCCAAAGCTTGTTGCTTTGGAGGGTCAGGTGTGTGGGAGCTGGGACTGCATGGGACCCTGGAGGTGGCTGAGTTCATCCTCCCCTTGGAGACCTAATGCCCCCTGCAGCCCGCTGGTCTGTGTAGCCTCGCTGGTTGGTTGGTTGGTTGGTTTGTTTTTCCATGTTTCTTTATTTTGAGAGAGAGAGGTGGGGGCGGAGAGCACAAGCTGGAGAGGGAGAGAGAGAATCCCAAGCAGCGCAGAGCCCCGTGGCTCAACTGTGAGCCACGACCTGAGCCGAGATCAAGAGTCAGACGCTTAACGGACTGCACCCCCCGGGCACCCCGCCTAACTGGCTCCAGAGCTTCTCTTTGCTTGGCACACCAGCTGGCCTCCGTGTGGCCTCCCCGCCAGCTCCCTCTGCCTTCCGAGAAGGATAAATAGCCAACGAGTTAACTGCTAACTATAGTTACAACGGGTCTTCACTCATTACTGCTCCTTTGACAACAACCCTGTGAAGTAGATGCTATTCTTATCCCCATTATACGCACGAGGAGACTGAGGCACAGGGAGGTTAAACTTAAGGTCACACAGCCATAAGCAGCAGCATTGCCTTCAACCCATGGTGCGCGACAGCCAGGTGGTGGCTGGAATCTTCCTCCAGGCCAAAAGGCATGGTCTGGGCTCTGGAACCCCTATTCTGTTCAACAGAGCCCAGCGATGCCCGGGCTCCCCCAAGATGGGGGACTTGCACAATTCTTGGGGTATGTCCCGAACCACAAGCTGCTGTCCCCCTATCTCTCTCCTTCATTGCTTGGGGCTGTAGAATTTTACGTCCTGTCTACCTGACGGCTCCGGCAGAACCTGCCCGGTGACAGTCACACACAGTTGCAAGGGTTGTGCACTGCTCAACTCCGAGAGCGCTCTTTCACAGAGACTATGAGGTGAACGAGCCCCACCCCCAGAGTTGTGATACACCACCTGCCCAGCTGTCTGGGCAGCAGATCGGTCCTGGGTTCTTCTCACAGCTGGATGGGATTTTGCCCGCCCTTAAAAGGTCTTCTCCAGATGCACTCCGTGGTTCTAGAATCATCTTTCTGTGCCTTCTTGGCCAGGCCCCTTGAGGTCACCCTGCTGTGGAGCTGGCGGGGTTCCACGTGGCCCGAGGTGGAGCCAGATGGGAGCCAGGCCACCTTGAGCCTGCCCCTCACTGTACAGAGGAAGGAAGCAGCCCAGGGCTCAGCACCCCCGGGTGCCAAGTTGGGACCAGAACCCAGGTCTCATCTCCAAGACCACGGTCTTCACTCTCTCCCCAGGCTGCTTTGTTTTCCCGTGTTGTTTCATCCCGTTCCTGAGTACTATGAGGGCACGTAGAGGGCACCCTGCTCTCTTCCTCCTTGGGTTTCCCAACAGCAGTTAGCAGAGGCTGGGTAATTGCTGGGTTTGGGTCCTCTCTCCAGACCTTCAGAGACAAAGTACAGAGAGGCCACAAACGCCGGGGGCTCAAGCATCTGGAGGATGCTTAGCCATGACTCATTAGAAGGCTGGGACTGGAGACTTTAGTGCCTCCCAAAGGAAGGGTAAGTCAAGGCAGCACCCCACAAAATACAGGCAGTTTGTCTGATCAGGGCTTCTGTGGCTTGGGGGTGGGTCGGTGGCCATAGTTCACTTTTTGTGAACAATGAGTGTTGATTCTAGTCCTACCCTGTGTCAGGTGTATGCACGGAGAATCCAGAGTCCTTGCCAGTGAGAGCTGGGGGAAACGAGCGTTATTTGTGATAGGTTGTGGAAAGCACCCACGACCGTCCTGCACAGTTGCACAGATTGTGCACTGCTCAACTCTCAGGGCATACTTCACATAAACCGAGATGAACGAGTTGTGACGCGCAACCGTCTACAGTGGCTGTCGTGTCCTCTCGTGGACACAGTGTCAGGCTTCAGGTTGTCAAGGGAGGACAGGCTCTTTCGACTGGTGGCAGGCGAGGGAGGGGGATTGGTGCCAATGTGAGAAGGCTCTCCCCCAAAGAAGATGCTGACACCGGGTCGTGGAGGATAAGCAGCAAAGCTCCAGCCAAAGAAGAGGGAAGGGTGTGCCGGGCAGTAGAAAGAACATTTGTCAACCTTTGGAGGCTGGGGAGGGAGGCCGAGAGTGAGGGAGCGGGATGAGGTGGGAGGTCACGTGGAGGGGAGTGGTAGACAGAGGAGCCTGAGAGGCAAGACAGGTGGGGCTGAGCACCACGGAGCAGGAAGGACCAGGGGCCTGTCGGTCCCTCCGGCTGATCCGCGCTCCCGGAGGCCTGCCCACCCCAAGGAGCGCATTTCGAGATAGGCGTCCGGTAGCTGGACCTCAGAGGCCCTCGACCCCGGGAGACGGGTCACATCAACAACATATTTATACCCCGTTTACACAGAGGCTGAAGCGACCGTCTGCTGGTGTTTATGCCTTTCTGGGACGGCCTCCATGGTCTATTTCTGGAGCATCCCTCACGGCCAAGAGGGCACAGGGAGCGAGTGCCATATCTCCTTGCCTTCGCAGACAGCTGGGCGGCCTCTGTGCGTGGCGGTCTGGTGACTGGGGGGGGGGGGCTGCCGGGGCTCCCTCTGAGTGCACGGGGGTCCCCAGGAAGGAGCCAGGCCGGGCCGGGGATTGCCACTTCCGGAGGTGGTCGTCTGCCGTTGTCCCCGAGCAATTGCAGATTTTCTTTGTCCAAGCAACATTGCCAGTGGGATGGTCGACAGAGATGTGACGTGGAAACCGAAGAGCCGGATGGAGCTTGAGGAGTGTGTGCGGCCGGTTGAGCAGAGCGTCAGTGGGGAGGAGAGTGACACCTTGCTCACGACTCTGGCACAAGAAATTTCTTTAGAGTCAGATGCGTCTGGGGCGCCTGGGTGGCTCCGTCAGTTAAGCTTCCGACTTCGGCTCGGGTCACGATCTCGCGGTCCGTGAGTTCGAGCCCCGCGTCGGGCTCTGGGCTGACGGCTCGGAGCCTGGAGCCTGCTTCGGATTCTGTGTCTCCCTCTCTCTGACCCTCCCCTGTTCTTGCTCTGTCTCTCTCTGTCTCAAAAATAAATAAACGTTAAAAAAAATAATAATAAAAAAAATAAAGTCCGATTCGTTGAGGTATGCCGCATTTGCATACGGTAGAACCCACCCCTTTTAGGGTATAATCCTTTGCGTTTTGACAAACGTGTGTGGTCTTGTAACCACCGCCGCAGTCAAGACACCAAGCACTCCCGTCAACCAAAAATTTCCTTGATGCTGTTCTACTTCTGTCTTTAATTTGGTTTTAGCGTGTATTTAGTTTTGACAGGGAGAGGAGAGCACAAGCAGGGCAGGGGCAGGGAGAGAGGGAGAGAGAGGATCCAAAGCAGGCGCCTCGCCGACAGCAGTGAGCCCGACGCGGAGCTCGAACTCACAAATCTCGAGTTCGTGACCCGATCCAAAGTCGGACGCTCAACCGACGGAGCCACCCAGGCGCCCCTCTTTCCTGTTTTAACCCCTGTGGGAGGGATAGTTGGGCCCTTGCTGGGGTTACTCGCCAGGCCTCTCGCTGCCAGGGCTCCCCGCGATGGATGGGTTTCGCACGCTGGGCACCGAGCCCCGGGCCAGGCCTCCTCGCGCTTGAGAGCCACAGCGACGCCAGATAACCACGGGACGTTTCCGGCTGCTGCTGCTTGTGTTGTTCTGGGGGCCCTTGCAGTGGATGAGGGGCAGGGAGGCAGGCACCAAGGGGCAGTGAGTGCCACACCCTGGCCTGGAGGAATCGAGGGTCTCGTCTGGGGACAGAAATGAGCAATGTACACCCGAGGCTGATCCGTGTTACCGAAGGGGACGGGTGACGGTTGGGGGGTCCGGGTCCCCCAGAGGGCACAGACGGCCGCATCACTTTCTCATGCAGGGAAGAAAAGTACCCTAAAGGCTGGGCTGTCAGTTGGGTGATGTGACTTGGGTGTGGGACGACTGTGGGAACTCCCGAGTTGGTGGGGGGTTGGGGGTGGGGGATTGGGGGGGACAGCGGTGGAGGCTTAGATGTCAGAACGTGGGGGGGCCTACAGAAGGCAGTTCACCCACCTGCTCCCTGCCAGAGCCCCCCTTTGGCTGTAGTAGGGCAACCTAGAGGCTGGCTCGGGGTCCCCAAAGACTGGGGGGGCGAGAGGGGACCACCAGCCTCTCCAGGCCCCCCTGAGGCCTCGGGAGTCGAAAGTGGAGGGCCTTGGCGGGGGCGACTAACACCGTGTCCTCTGCCTGTCTGTCCGTCCGCCATCCAGGTGCAAGTTCTTCAGTCTGACCGAGACGCCCGAGGATTACACCATCATTGTTGACGAGGAGGGCTTCTTAGGTGAGTGCTTCCACCACCGGCGCTCGGCCGGACAGTGGCCTGCACTCAGTGCTGGCTGCCCGCCGCCTTATTTCTGCCCCTCCACCTCCTTACTTTTTGCCCGCCGCCTTATTTCTGCCTCCCCTCCGCCTTCCTAGCGGTGGGCTAGAAAGTCAGCAGGGGGTCTGTTTTCTTCTCTCCCTGTGCCCTGGCTGATCCCCCCTCCGTTTCCGCTTGTGAGACTCCCCCGGGAAAGGCGACGGCAGAGCCAAAAGGGTCAATAAGACGGTGCTTACCCAGCTGGGAACTGAAGCTACCAAGAAGGCACCCAGGGCTTGTTTTCTTGAGCACCTGCTGTTGGGCGAGGGGCTTTAAAATGTCCTCAGTCCTCGTTCCCTTTGGAGGAAGCCCTGATTATTTTCCTTTTGTGATTTTCCTTTCCGTTGTTCCGTTTTTCAGATTGGGATATCATTCACGTATCACAAAGTCCACCATTTTATTTTAGTTTTGAATTTTTTTAATGTCTATTTATTTTTGAGAGACAGACAGAGTGCAGACAGATGGGCAGAGAGGGAGACACAGAATCCGGAGCAGGCCCCAGGCTCTGAGCTGTCAGCACGGAGGCTGACGTGGGGCTTGAACTCACAAACTGTGAGATCATGACCTGAGCCGAAGTCGGTCGCTTAACCGACTGAGCCACCAACGCTCCCCTTAAAGTCCACCATTTGAAAGTGTCCAGTTCTGTGGTTTTTGAAACGCATGGGGTTGTGCAGAACATTCCAGAACATTTTCATCACCCCAAAAAGAAACCTCGTACCTGTTAGTATCACTCCCCCTTCTCCCCTTCCCCCATGTCCTTTTGGTTTCATCAGTAAGGCTTTTACTATGTTTGTCCTGCTGTTAAGCTCGAAGCTCCTGGAGCAGAGGGGACGTCACGGGCCCAGGCTCACCAGCCACCAGCTGGGCTCCCCCCAGAGCAGATGTTCCTTCCAAGCCCCTCAGTTCCGTTCCTCAAAGCATGCAGAGAACGCAGCAAATTCAGAGTTTTTGTAAAAACCCTATTCCGCCCCAAAGACAACTCCTGGTCACTTTTTTTTTTTTTAACGTTTATTTATTTTTGAGACAGAGAGAGACAGAGCATGAACAGGGGAGGGGCAGAGAGAGAGGGAGACAGAGAATCCGAAACAGGCTCCAGGCTCTGAGCTGTCAGCACAGAGCGCCACGCGGGGCTCGAACCCACAGACCGCGAGATCATGACCTGAGCCAAAGTAAGGTAACATTTCCTGTGATACCCCAGCCTCTCACCATGCATGTCGTGGTGGACGGGGCCTGCCTCCTCACCGGGTCCCTAGTGGTTAGAATCCAAGCTGTTTCCTTGTTCTCTAGTGATAAATTTGTGAACTCCTGAAATGTGTAACATACATTCTTATCCGGGCTGGCTCCAAAAATGAGGTCTGAGACGTGGGGTTTGTGGGGTCAGAAGTCAGCCATCTGTGTGGTTCTCAATGCAAGCCGAATGAGACCGTCCTCACTGGTGAGCACGCGAAACCCTGGGGGAACGGATACGGCCCCCACCCGCTCTGTCATTCCTTACACACCCCTGCCCTGGGCACCTAGCCAAGGTTGGGGGGCTGCACCCAGCCCCCCCCATATCTAAAGGCAAACGGTTTCCCTCCCTCCGAGGGGACAGCTGCCCGGCCACAGCAGGGACAGGACAGGCCCTACGGGAGGCCCTGCCCCATCATCAAAGTTATCTAGCTAGTCATTCATTCATTCATTCATTCATCCATTGACTCACTCATTCACTCAGCAGATATTTTCTGAGCCTGCGGGCCGCGAACGAGAATTTTGCCTTAACCACAAAGCGCGGTCCCGTGAAGAGTGCGTGCCTGGGCAACCCGAAGCCATCTGCATTTTTGCGTGGGGACGCGTGCCCTTGTGCGGGAGCACCGAGGAGCGCCCCAGACTATCTCTTCTCTAGGATCAGATGCTCTGTCTGGTCCATCTCCCCGGACGAGACTGACTCTCTCCATCGTGAGGCAGCAAAGGAGGCATCGCGGGGAGCAGGGAGCCGGGGAGCCGGGTTTTGCAGGCCCTGGGAGCCCGCTTGTGCAGGAATTGTCAGTAACCGGGGCGGGAGGTGTCCCGCAGCTAAAGGGCCGCCTGCTCGGAGCCCCCCCGGCCCCCTCCTCTGGATTGCAGGAGGCAGCATTTACTGAGCACCTGCTGTGTGCCGCATCTCGCTGGGCCCTGGAGGGGTAGCCGGGGGTGGGAAACACCACCTCTGACCCCATGAGCCTCAGGGCCTGTCAGCTAATGGCACCGTTCTCGTGGTCGGTGCCGTGCAGGGAGGGTGTGGGTGCCGTAACGGCATGTTGCAGAACATACCCTGCTGTTCAGGAGGCCCCCTGGGAGGGGCCCTCGAAATAGGAAGCAAGATAAGCCGAGAGCGGATACATGCGCTCCCTGAATCGACATATATTGCCTTATTTCACTGCCCCGCCGGGGCTGCTATCTGTTGATGCTGTGCCTAATAAGCCCTGGGAAGGACTCTTTTTTTTTTTTTTTTCACGCGAGGCTTGGAACAGGATGCAGCATCTTAAAAAAATTTTTCAAGTTTATTTATTTTGAGAGAGAGACAGAGAGAGCAGGGGAGTGGCAGAGAGAGAGGGAGAGAGAGAACATCCCAAGCTCTGTCAGCGCAAAGCCTGATGCGGGGCTCGAACCCACAAACTGCGAGATCATGACCTAAGCTGAAGTCAGGAGTCGGATGCTAAACCGACTGAGCCACCCAGGCGCCCCGGGAAAGACTTTTCTTACCTTCGTTTTATAGATGAGGAAAGTGAAACACAGAAATGTGTGTAACCTGCCCAAGATCTCACCGTTGGTGTCACCTCTTCCAGAGGTGCTTCCAACGGCCAGGCCCTGGGCAGGGGAGGTCAGAAGCACAGGAATCCAGCCTTTACCCCTCAGGTCTTGGGAGGACAGAAACACAGGGACCAGAATTACAGCATCAGTGGAGAGTGGCGCTCAGCTTAGCGGGCAGAAGTGCAGTCCAAGAGGACTTCCTTGAGGAGGCAGGGCCTGAGGCAGACCCAAGGAAATGAGTAAAGAGCTACCCAGTGGAACCTATGCAGTTGAGGTTGGGGACACTTCCAGAGTGGAGGGTTGCTTGGCACTCTCAGGGAACTGAGGTCACTGGGCACGTGAACAGGGGAAGGAGGCAGGACGAGTGAGACCAGGAGAGGCAGAGGCAAGGGGGAGCCAGTGAAGGGTGTTGCCTGAACTCGAAGGGCTTGCCCGCAGAGAACCGAGTGGACAGGCTGGCACAGTGAGGACAGAGCAGGAATCGAGAAAGATTCCAGATCAGAATTTACCTGGGACTTTCCTGAGCTCCACTGCTGACCGGCACAGAGCCTCACGTTTTGGGTCTGGAAGAAGTAGTGAGTCTTCTTCATGTCGCCCCTTTGGGGCCCCGCCCCCCCCGCCCCGAAGAGGAGACTTTGGGGGAGCTCGTGTAGTCAGGGAAGGCTTCCTGGAGGAGGCAATTTTTTTCTGCCCTTGATGGGCTGAGGAGGGAGAGAGCATGTCCGGTAGGCGTCTATGAGTAAGTACAGGAGAAGAAGCAGAGACCAGGTCCAGTTCTAAAACAGACGTGAGCAAGGTAAATTTGCACCCTATTCCACAGACAGTAGGGAGCCATTGAAGATTGTTGAGCTGGAAGAGAGTGATCACTGAGGCTGGATTCAGGTAGAGGCAGCTGGGTGAGTGTACTGGAGGGGAGTGTGAGGTGGGGGCCTCCCTGGGAAGTGTATAAGCAGGCTTTGTCCAAATTGAGGTCTTGAGACCCTAACTGGCCCAGGGAGGGGATCACCCACCACCCTGAAGCCCTGAGGTTCCCCGGAGCCAGTAACAATCGCCTGGTTTCTCCCCCAGACCTTTTCCAGTTGTAGGGAAGTAACCATAGCAAAGGGCTCATCTGCTCAGTCTTCAAGTCAGGGGAAGGTGGGACCTGGGACAGGTTTGAATTATTCACCCAGCAGGGGCTGGGAGGAGGGGCCCAGCCTCTGGCCACCCTTAACTCTGTGACTTCCAGGTAGGGGGTCTTGCTTCCAGGCTGCAATTCCTGGCCAGCAAACCAGGCTTCTTGGTCATCCATTATTGCCCAAGAAAAATCTAGAAACATCGTGTGCCTCTAATGAAGTGTGCTGTCTCCTGCACTCATGTTCTAGAGCTCTGGGGTCGGGGGGGGGGGGGGGGGGGGGG